AAGTACTTATAAGTGATGGGGGCTCTCACTTTTGTAATCGGACCATAGAGGCACTACTTAAGAAGTATAATGTCACGCATAAGGTTTCAACACCTTATCATCCCCAAACAAGTGGACAAGCCGAAGTTTCCAACCGGGAAATCAAGCAGATCTTGAAAAAGACAGTTGGACCAACTCGAAAGGATTGGAGCTTGCGTTTGAATGATGCATTGTGGGCATATCGTACTGCCTACAAAACACCAATTGGAATGTCTTCTTCTTCTCTAACTGGTATCTCAATACTCTATTTTCTTTGATGACCAAGATGAATGATTTTTTTTTTATACAATAAAATGAAATCTTATGCTCCAATTAAAAAAAATCTAATTTAATAGATTAGAGAACCTTATATTAATTTTTATTTTAAAAAAAGGACAAGGGAAAAATTGAAGGAAGAAAAATTCACAGAACCCAAACTTGTTGCTCTAAATAAATTAAAAAAATAAGCGAGAAAAAACAAAGAAACAACCAAGAGAAGCCAGATGCGTGGGAACTAAAATCTCCCAGCCAGATGCATGTGAATTGAAGTTGAATTTGAATGGTGAAGAGGTATTGTCTTTGTCCCCAACGTTGATGATGAAGCTTTGGCCTGAAATTTTGTTGTACCACATGAAAGTGATGAGGAGCTGCTTCTGGGTGAGAGTTTGGCTCTGTCTACCCACTTTCCATTTCCTTGTCTCTACAATTCTCACCAAGCAAGAGACCCTCAAAAAAGAATCCACAAAACATCACACAATCCCTCATTCCAACATCACTTAAATTCACACACCCAGGCATTCACAGAGTTCTTTTTCTAAATATTTCTACTCAACTTGCGAACTATTTCAACAACAGAAAGCTGAAGATTTAGTAGATGAAACGCACCAATTTATTTCCCATAATTAGAAAACAATGCAACGAATCCATGAAAATGAAAAGTAATCTATAAATTAGTAAAAAGGTCCCATTTGAGATGATGGATTCATATTTTCCTCAACATGAACACTCCAAAAATTTCTCATAATTATCAAATTGACCAACTCACAATTCTCAAATTCCAATTTGATTACTTCATGAATTTCCAATCCCAATACCTTAAATTTATCACAAAAGCCAAAATGAACAAGCAATAGAGAGATAATAACATACGGGCTATAGAAATTGGAGAAGATGGCAATCTTGTTGAGTAGATGACGTTCTGTACGAACGCCGAATATTAGTGCCGCCACCGCGGCTGCCATGAACGCAGCACCACCCAACAACTCTAACGCATCTTCCCATGACAACACAACGATCGCAGGTCCGAAAGGCTGACGTAGCTCTGAGACGATTCAAGCGAGTCCGACCTGTCCTCTGCCACCTATTTGAGCCGTCGAGACTATCCAGCTCCACAATACATAGTAGGATGAGCGACAGTTCAAAAAGAGCATTTTTAATAAAATAATTAAAAAAACTGACCCATTCCATTGCCATCTCTCACCTTACTATCCAACTTTGCATTGGCCGCTTTCCCCATTTCAAGTCGTTCTTTTTTCCTGTCAATCATTTATTTTTAATCAACAAAACCATCATAATATTAAGCAACCACGTTTCCAATTTTTAGATATATGTGCAACTTACATGAAATTAAAAAATGCATCCCTGCCAACTCTTGCTTGTTGTACATTACTCTCGGCTTTGCGCTGTCCTTTTGCTTCACCCCTTTTTTCAACTTCCATAACTTGCACAAATTAAGTACACAACACTATCATGCAATTGTCTCTAGCGACGAGAATCTGAATACTAATCCAAAGCCTAATACATCCTAAACCCCTTAAACACCACAACATCACATTGATTAATTACAAAAATATGGTGACCAGGATTTGCACATAGTTGCTCTGTAATTGCATATACCGATATGCAATTGCACGACACTACTTGCAATCGCTCAGTAATTGCATATACCGATATGCAATTGCACGACACTACTTGCAAGTGCATCAACCCTCCATTATAACATTGCACAAATAATGCGCCCAACCCACCCATGCATTTCTCTCTTGGGTCGGGATTCTCAATCCGTTCAATTCACAATCCAAATCTTAACCAATCCTAACATTACACATTCGGAACACTTTATACTCCATAACAAAATATTCAAAAACACAGTCAAACCTACCTACCTACCCTTCTTTTGGTTTTAGGGGGGTCAATTATTACATAAAATGTATGCAATTACATATTCGGGTATGCAATTGCAAATAAACTGTTACATCAAATTAAGAACCGATATGTAACAATTGGTAATGGATCTACTATTAAAGAGATCGACTTGTGTAAATATGACAAAAAACTTTGTCGCACAAAGAAAGAATATCAAGACAGAACGTTCTGCCTTGATGCCTATATCCATGAGTTCAATTGCCATCCACAGCTCAACACAATGAAACATAATTTAGAACACAACAGAAGAAAACCAAAACCTCAAGCCACCTGCAATTGGCGGCGCCTAGCTGCATCTTTCTCAAGGACCTTAAATCTGCTAGCTTTCATTCGTGCTCTGTTCATCTGTCATGATTTTCACTAGATTCACAACCTTCATTATTTGGAACTTGGTTGGTTAATTCTTTCTGAAAACTACCTGCTGCAGATATACTAGGAGCAACCATATCACCATGCAAAGTCTCAGAGGGTTCCTCCTACAATTAGCAAAGCAAAGGAGCACCATCAATCTATTGCACACAGATACTAGGGACAACAAATGCATCCGTATTGTTCAGTGAAACGTCAACTTTACAAGGTTTTCTATCAATATTCTCTAATGAATTGCCCTTCATAATTCTTCAAAGAATCCTTTCATGGTTATCTTTCAGTAGTAATCACTCAAGACAAACAAATACTTAATAACAAACAGAGCCTATATATAAACCCCAAGACATTTAAAAGGATTCAATATTTAAATGGGAACATAGAAAGCAGTGGTTGTTTCCAAAGCGAATAGTTCAAATATCATTGATCAAACACAAATATTATAACAAATTCTGAAGAAGAACCCAAAAACTTCTAATTAAATTATTTCATAAAGAAAAGGAGACCTTCCAACTTAATTATTATTATTTTTTCAAAAACGAAGTGACATAGAATTATTGGCCGTAGATTTCCACTTATCAATATCATTCTCCCTGACATCTTTCATGTGAACTCAAAACAACTAATCTCCGGTTCAATGATGTTCTTCTCTCAGCATTATTCATGCTCCTCTCTCAGCATCATTCATGCTCCACTCAGTAGCCAATCCATTATCGTAGCATACTAACATCATGGTAAAAGTAGTCTATATGAAAAATTTCTTAACTGAGTTACAACCTCAACCTCTAAGGATTCCATTACCATAGTTATTAATGAATATGTAACTACTTTTCTCATCAGTCTGTTACACCAAAAAAAGGTTTTACACAGGAACTGTTTTTCTTTTTTCAATTTTCTTGACAGGTCTTTTGTTGCAATAGTAGAGTAATTGCATCCTTCAATCCTTCCAATTAATACCAAACAACTCAGGCAATATGCACTCAATACATTGTTCAAGCTGTAGCCTAAGCCACTAGAGCTGAGACACTATTGAATTCGAGCTATTATACAAAAATGAGATAATGACAGAGCATAATACCCTGTTGATCATTTGGAGAGCCTTGTTCGACTGCTGGTTCATGCAACTTTGTCGGGTCTCCTCCACTCGCAACTCTTTCTCTCAATTTTCTAAGAGAAATGTATCAAAATTTTGCACACAAAGAATAAAAGATTAAAGCAGAGTCCAAAATCCAAAGGATTTAAACATAAAAAAAATAAAAAAAGACAGAGAGATCAGTACTTTTACTTGTCTAGTGGCGGCAACCTGTTCGACCTCATCTCATGAACAAACTGATCAAAAGAATAATATGGGAGCAAACGTGAGTGCCATTCGGTGTACAACCCAATTAAGTTCCCCAAATCTCTAACCTCCAAAAACTGCTAAAAACAATTTAGCATAATATGATGAATTTTTTTCCACAAAAGAAAGGAAACAAGAGTGGAATTGAATATGAGACCTCGTTTCCGAGGCCACGGTACTTGAAAGCGCGAGTGAAGTGGCGGAGGACGTGGGCGAGGTCAGCTTCGGCCTAGTCTTCTGAACTGACACCTTTTTGCCTTCGAAGCACCGCTGTCTCTCTATCTCCTCTCCTCTGGCTGTTGCATCTCGGCCTGGGCAGAGATGAGACGCCCAGATTCCGATCTGGTGACATAGATGAAGCTTGGATTTCCGAAGAGAGAGATCGCAGAGAAGAGATGAAGCAGCCCCAGTGCATGCGATTGACTGTACCGGTACAGCCGATGACCCACAGAAGGACTCCTTTATCTGAATGCTTTCAATCTTCGGACTCCTCATGTTGACAGGACACGTTACTCCTAATCCATACTTAATTTACATCCTCTCTCTCTCTATATATATATAGGGCCAAAGAGCCTTGATAGCACACGTAACTCCTAAACCTGACTTATTTTACATTCTCTCTATATTTATAGGACCAAAGAGTTGCAGATTCGAGAGAAGTAAAAGAACAAAACAATCAGAGGAATCTTAGAATCAACAATAATGAATTCTGAAACTGGCAGCACCTGGAGGACGAGGATTTTAGGCCTACTGCTGTTAATGCCTGGGGCTCTAATACTGGCGATGGGTTGTTGTGAGATGTCATTGTTGAAGGCGGTGATGTTATTGGTTGCGGTTTTCCTGTATGCTTCAACTGTGTAAGTGGCATGTTTTAATACTATTTTAGATCAAAATTTTATGTTATTTCAATATTGGTTGTGGTTTTCATAAATACAAGCTCACACGATTTCGCGTCTGCGAGAGACTTTTTAAAAAAAATTTAAAATTTATTTCAGAATTAAAAAAGTTAATAATTAGTTGTGGTCCATAAAAATAAGATTTTTCTGATTTTTCTTTTAATTTTAATTTTTTTAAATATGAAAAGTATGAATTTATCATATTATCCTCATTTAATTAATAATTCCAATTCTTGATGTTTGTATTAACCAAGGGCATTTTCTGGTATTTTGAATGTTTTACCATTATTGTCATTATTATTATTAGCCTCTCCGCATGCGATTAAATTTATTTTAGAATTAAAAAAGATAATGGGTAGTTGTGTTCCATAAAATTAGGATCCATTATCTAAATTTTCTTTTAATTTTAATTTTTTTAAATATAAAAAGTGTATGTGAACTTACCATATTATCCTTATTTAATTATAATTTCAATTCTTAATATTTGCATTAACCAAGGGCATTTTCTAGTTTTTTATCTTTTACAATTCTTTACCTTTTACTTTATATATACTGATTAATTATTATTTTTTTATTATCTTAATCTTGCAGGATCCTTGAGGATACTCCAGTGTACATGTCATGGCCTGACCTGGTGCAAACATCGCTCCGTCAATTAAAGACCAAGCTGGACAAAGCAGCCTACCCCAACATCAACGGCCCAACCCAGAAATTCTTGGGGCAACTAATGGAATTTGATGCTGCTAGACCCTAGACAATTTGTTTTTTTGTTTCCTATTTTTAATATAATCTTAGTTTCATTTTATTAATAGTATCATTTATTACTATTTTTTCCCCTTTTTTGAGGACTTTTCCTATTAAGATGGGCGATAGTATACTAAGGGGGGTGTATTCAATTGAGATTTTAAAAGACTATTTATGGATAAATAAGTCCAGTGGATTTTAAAAGACTATTTAAGAATGTAATGACTTATAAGATTTTTTATACTCAGGATTTTTTATGTTTGGATTTTAAAGATTTATATCATAAGAATTTATAAGATTTGAAAGGACCACATGGATTTTTTATTTGTACGATAACCAACCAACTTAGTTGTGGGCACTTGCATCAGCAATAACATAAACGGGATCAAATGGAATGGAACAATAAATAAAAGCAAACATTCAGGTAATAGGTTAGAAGAATAAAGAAAGAGGCAGTATGGTATAGCTAGAAGACAAATGGAAGTGGGGCAGAGTTCAAACTCTGTACCATAGCCAAATGGAGGCAATTTATTGTATTTGAAGCTGCTGCAAAACATGTAACAATAACAATTTAGCCAGTTTGAAGCTGCTGGCAATTTATTGTGACAATATAACAATATGTATGTGAAGCTGCTGTCAGAATAGTTTAACCAAATAAAAAAGTTCAACCAAATTATAATCCAAAATAGTTCAACCAAGTTATAATCCAAATAGTTCAACCAAAGTACCAAAATAGTTTAACCAAATAAAAAAGTTCAACCAAATTATAACTCAAATAGTTCAACCAAAGTAGAAGCAAAATAGCACAAACTAAAATATAGTTCAACAAAACCCAAGATGGTCAAAATACTACTACAATATATGTAAGAAATTTATTAGTTATTTCACAAGAATACATATCATACCAAACAAGAAAACCAAAACAAATTGCTTCCAGGTACAACAATAATAAGCATATTGATTTCTACTAACTGCTTATTTTATTTAATTCTTGAGTGCTATTTTATTATTACAACAAAGATTCATCCAAATCAACAACACCCCATCTCAACCCTCAATCCAACCAAACAAACGTCACAAGCAAAGCTTGGAAAAATAACAGGGGGAAGAAAGGAAAGAAAACCCAAAGCCAGGCAACAACAAGAAGCATGAATATATTCATATACGAAAATATGGAAGATATCTCAGCAGCAACAAAGCCTTTCAAAAACATGTAAAAAGCAAAGTACCCATTACAAAATAAGGTCACATGGTTATAGAAAACGATGTCAGCATGGTTATAGAAATTGAAAAAGAATTACTATATCAATAGATGCCAGCATGGTTATAGAAAACGAATACAAAATTTTTTTACTAGCAAAGAAAACATAGCATGGCATATATTTGATACATACAATAAACGCAAGAAAACATAGCACGAAAAGGAAGCAATACCTTATTCACGAAAAGCTGTTTATCTTCACGAAGAACTGTTAATCTTCTCTCGCAGAGAAAAAAAAATCTCACGGGAAAAGTCTGACGGGTTATGGTGGGATTTTTTTTAGGCTTTGGTATTTATACCTCCCACTAAAAAGTCACACAAATTCCTTCTTTAAAAAAAATCCTTCGAAATTAGCAAGTTTTTAAATACCAAAAGACTTTTTATTACTTGTTTAAAGTCTTGATTGAATACCACTAGATTTGGACACCCTCTTTAAAAAATCATAATAGTCCTTATTGAATACCACAAGACTTGTTTAGATTATTTAAAAGTCTTAATTGAATACCACAAGACTTATTTATCCCAAAATAGTCTTTTAAAATCCTAATTGAATACACCCCCCTAAATCTACACATACTACACAAATGCTATGGCTCGAACTTATTACCTTGCCTGAGGAAATTAGTACTAGTACTCTAAACCACTACATCAGTGGGCCCTTTTGATTTATTTATTTTTGTTGTTGTTTTTTTCTTAAAACTCTGCTATATTTGAAAAAGACGTGGGACTCTTAATGTTGATTGGGCTATTTTTTGAAGTCAAGGCCCAGTCTTCTGTTTTTCTGTTCCTGGGTTTCTTTGTAAAAAAATAGGCCGGGGTGTGAAATTCTCAAGCCCAAACACTTATTTTATAGGATATGCTGGAGTGGGGTTTTTAATATTTGAATAATGGGCGGCAAATCTTTTCAAAAGATCTCTCTGTTGAGGCCCAAAAAATTCACGCTTCGGCCCAAATAAATTATCGGCTCAATACGATACCTTATCAAGAAGAAACCCGATTTAGGCATGCGAAAGTTCGTCATATACGCTTTGCACACATGCCACGCCAAATGACACGCCACGCTAAGCAAGGAATTATCATTCCGCACCTAATCACGCCACAAGCCTAGGTGGGCCCAAGCCACCCAAAA